TCTGATCTTCCAAATAACCAATATTGTTAAATAATGAGGTATATGGATAGGGGCCATCCTGTGCCCCTAGCCAGGAGATGTTGGATGCTGGAAGGAGCACTACCTACAATTAGCTCAAACTTTTTCTTGCTTTTTCCAGTTCCAGTTTTTCTCAGGAGTCTGAGGTCTAAACCAACTGTCATCTTCCAGAGATCTCATTTCTTTTTGATATATTGTCCTTTGCTGCTTTGTGCATTATTCAGAAAGAGAAACAAAACCCCAAGTGGTTAGATTAAAAAGAAAGTAGAAAATGAAAAATGAAATCCTGAGAATTTACCCTGTTTTCAGAGTGGTGTTTCTTCTGGTTGATAGCCAAAATTGGAGGGGGGAGGAAATCTCTCAACTTGGTAAAGCTTGTATGCCTAACACTGCAATTGGGAAACTTAGTTGCCAGGTCTGCTGTTACTTTGGAGCATTTTATTGGGAAGAAATTCTTTACTGTGAGGGTGGTGAGGCACTGGAACAGGCTGCCCAGAGAGGTTGTGGAGGCCCCATCCCTGGAAGTGTTCAAGGCCAGGTTGGATGGGGCTTTGGGCAACCTGGTCTAGTGGAGGGTGTCCCTGCCCATGGCAGGGGGGTTGAAACTAGATGATCTTTGAGGTCCCTTCCAACCCAAACCATTTTATGATTTGAGCTGGTTTTGGAGCTTGTGTGTCCTGAGTAATGCAGCAGATGCACACCTTTACAGAACCACATTCACCACCATAAGGGGACTGATCTCGAACCCAGCAGGGTTTGGTCCCCTTGAGCAGAAGCAACGGCTTGTTGCAGCACATCTACTATTTCAGTAAGGACAAAACCCAGCTTGTTTCATACTGCAGAGCACCAATCACTGGTGTTGCTTATGTCAGAAACCAGTGCATATGGTACTCAATCTCCAACCCACAGCCTACTCCTGCTGTAGGACTACAGCCCTCTGGTGGTACTTAATCACATTTTTTGTGAAGAGCTGCATAACATTATAGCTAAAACTCAGCTTTGAGCCTTGGCCTTTATGGATTTGCCTGGAGGGGTAGGAGTATCTGTGGGGGAGAAGTCCAAAAGCAGGGTGCAAGTCAGCATCTAGCTGTGATGCACTGCATGGAAATCACCCACCAGAGAGTGATTTCTAAAGCAAATACATAGATTGCTTGCAGGGGCACTTACAAAGTATGGATCTCACAGGACTGGGAGACACCTCAGAAATCATTGCCAGGGCTCTGTGGGCACTAAGAGGCCACTAAGGACCCTCCCTGTAGTGTCCTGACAGTCATCAGTAAGCTCTTCTACTTCCTAAGCTAGGATGAACAAAATATCCCTCAGTCCTGGACAATGTTTGCTTAGCCTGATCTTTAAAGTGCTTCAGTGACTGAGATTTTGCAATCTTTTACTTCCTGTTCTTCATTAGGGGAAAAGTTAGACTAATTTCTTCATAACTCATTCATGTCTTACACTGCACAGTTTAAACTCACTATTTCTTGTCCTATGGACATGGAAAAGAAAAACCCACCATTTTTCAATGTGCTGGACTTTCATATTTGAGTATGTGTCCCTTTGAGTCTTCCTTAAAGCTAATCAGCACAAATTCATTTTATTTTCCTCATAGGTCATATTCACAAAGAAGTTCTGCTTTGAACGCCTTCACAGCAGCTCTTTTCAGCCATATGGCATGATGTACTCAGATGTGGCTTTTAAGTGTCAGTTCTCAAAATGAAGAATAATCTGAATTGCCATCTAATGAGGCCTTGCCATGAAATGCTCATGACTCATTTCGTTAGCATCTCCTGCTCTGAAGTTTTGTTATGGACTACAGGAACAGGAAACTCTGGGCTTTTAAGCATCAAGTTCTGAATAAGCAAAATAACTTGAAAAGACAGCAACAGTGAACCAAGTGCTTCAGCTGGACTGTACTGGTAGAGCCCCACTGTTGTCTGTCATCAGTTCATAGCAGCTGAATAGACAGACCAACAAGCTGTCGTATTATTACTGAGCTTGGAGGATTAATTTGAAAAACCTGAGCAGACTGCTTGTGGGGATCTGTCTCGACCTACCAATGTCAGAAAGGTTTTACCTGTGAGTGAAGGAGCAGAGCTGGAAATCCCCCAGGTAAGGAGGGCACAGGGGCCGCGAGGTTGCCCCGCAGCCATGGCCAGCACAAGCTCAGCTACCAACCTGGCAGACCACCACTAAGGCTGGGCCTTAGCAGAAAGGTAAAGTTTCATTTGGATTGGTTTTTTTTCATTTGCTTTGATTTAGCATGAGAACTTAATGTTGGCTTAGCTGAGCAGTAAGGAGTACAAGCAGGTTGATGGCACTGCCAAAATATACTCATATTGTGCATAAGGGTATAGCCAAGATGGGCTGCAAAGGAGTTTATAGCAATACAAGCAATTAGAGAATGAACAAACCACCCACTGTACCAAGGATTTATTGGGCTGTGCAGTGGTAGGTAAACACTCGTTCCGGGGCAATAGTGATGTATCATATAGCGCATTTTAAACTGCAAAGAGCCAGCCTTCAGATTTTGTTCTTGGAAGAACAAGTCACTCGTATTATAGAGACAAAGAGGGAAAGATACAAATTGTTTCTTTATGTTCCTTCTTATTAATACTGCAGGCATTAGATTAAAAAGAGTGCATATTTTGTACAGAAGTGGTTTTGTATATACACTTACTGATTTAAATTTTAAAAGCTTCCAAGCAGCAGTTTGTCAGATGCTTCATTGTGTGTATAGATAACCTTTCAGTCTTTGAGCCATCTCTGAGTAGGAAACAGTTCTCTGTAAGAAATTCACCTTGGTGGTCCATTAGATGAGCCAAATAATTCAGTGCATAACAGGAGCAGATTGATTTTTCTCTGGTGTTTTTGATGCTCTCTGTTTGAAAAGAAGAATAACAGTTGCAGTCTAGGCCAAACTATTTTTTCTTTCAGGCTGTCTCATTCTGGTTTGCTGCATTTGAGTGTTCACAAGCTGTCTGGAGGCCAAGGTGTCTCCTTAAGCCACTTAAAGTCAGAGCCTCCATCATAAAAAGTCACTAACACAGAGCACAGAGCCTGAGTCATGTAAGCTTGCTTTGGCCCCAGTAAAGCAGGATGTAGAGCAAATCAACAGAGGCAACAGCCCAAGGTGAGATCTCATGGAGTCAGGAATCCCACCTTAGAGCAATGCATGTAATAGCAAAACATGCTATAGCATACAGAAATACATATTATAGCAAACCCAGATTTTCCTAGTAGAAAGCATGGGATAAATTTTAATAATAACAATCGGCACTGCGAGGCTTCCCCCGTAGACAGACCGCTCTGTTTAGGGATGTGGTGGGTCGCAAGGAGGCCTCTACAGAAATTTTCATTTTATTACCTAAGGAGTTAAGGTGTGTGGTCAGCATGGAGTCAGGGCTGCTTCCAGCCCCGGAGAGAGGGATGGGATAGTACTCACATAGGCTATTATTGTACTGAAAGGCTATCTAAAGCCTAAGAAACACTTGCCATGAAAATACGCTGCCCACAATCCAGTAGAATCTACTTTCTGATCTCTTCTGGAAGACTAACTTTGTAAAAAGCTCAGCTACATTGTTTGGCTGGGCAGGCTTGTCCAGCCAAAGAGCTGCAAATGCTGATGTGTTTGTGCAGCATGGAAAGCAGTGGTTTCACATCCACTGCTATGTAAAGATCTCAAACACTTCTAAAAAGTCTACCCCTGTTTTGCTATTTATGTAGTTCAGAGGCTGTGTGGAGCTGCACGATGCATGTGCAAAGCCTACTTTGATTTTCTGAAAGATCATTTGATCTTTCCTCATTGCACTTCCAAATAACCTGAAGCAGAATGGGGAAGATGCAGAAAACTTCTAGTGAACTTTTTTTCTCCTTTTGATTCAGATTTGATAACACAGAACCCAAACTTTAGAGTCGCCTGAGCACCCAGCTTCTTTCTTTGCCTCTGCACTTGCCGTCAGTGAGGCCACTCTACATTAAGGTTCCAATACATGTGATTTAAATATTCATATAAGATGTGCGCATTAAAAAATGAGGGTGACTTTTACATTAATTATTAACGGAGATCTCAGCAATGGATTGTGTTGGGCTTTTCAGATGGGTGAATAGATGCGGTTCTGTAAGAACAGGCCCAAGAAACAGGATTTTGTAAAGGGAAAGACTGGAGAAAAAGTGCTAGAGGAAATACATCCATCACTTCCAGAGAAATTAAAGCCTCTCAGGGAATGGCAGCACATGAGACTCCACTATGGTGGGAGTGAAAAGAAGGAAGGAAGGATGGTGGATCTCCATGGGGATAATATGGTGTGTCCACTGAGTCATGAGAGGACATGGTACTTAGCTGTCCCCAAGGAAATGCCTTGCACCAGGGCCCTGTTAAGCATGAGTCTTTTGGCACCACTGCTGCTTTACTGCCTCTCATGCCAGGTAGAAGTAACCTGCAGAAAATGCTGACACGAAGAAGCATGAAGTGAGAACCAAATGAGCAAATCTTGTACTTGGAGCAGGAGCCACACTGAGTTTTATACAGCATCCCATCATCCTAAATGATTGCAAAACTGTCAAATAACAAAAATCAAGTTGTGCCAGCCACTCACACCAAAATCCTGGCTCAGCAGAAGGCCTCTGCGCACGGCCCTGGGGAAACCACCATGGGACAAAGCTCCCCCCCCCCCAGCACAGCCACGAAAGGCTGTGAGCTCAGCCTGTGAAACTGCAAAGCGCTTGTTTTGTTGTTTGTGGATAATGCTTTAATCCACCGGGCGAAAGCTGGACGTTGCTCTCTTTTATTTTGGCTGTATGCAATTGCAACGCTCAAAAAGAAAAGCCTCTTCCCCCCCCCCCCGCCCTACCCACGCCCCCCCCCCCCCCCCCCCGCCATACCCGCTGTTCTTCTGAACTGCTGACGCCTGGATAGGCAGCTCTGAGGCGGGGCCATTGGGATTTATTTAGTTCACTGCTGTAGATGATGCCTTTAGTGCCACAAACTGCCCTGGAGACAAGCCCTAATCATCTGGGGGGTGATTATGTTCAGTTCTTCCTCACCAAACCCCCCAGACATAATTCAGATCCAAACTGGAGAGACAGGCAGGCACGCAAGAGGGGACCCCAGCACCATATAGCCCCCCCGAAACCATGTACAGGAGCAGCTTCCTCCGCGAGGTGCGCAAGGAGAAGTATGAGCGGTCGGATGCCTACGATGAACTGCGAGGCTCCCCCGAATTCGACAGTTTGGCCCAAGCCCGGGGCCTGGAGAACCTGCAGGAGCTCAACGAGCGCTTCGCCAGCTACATCAACCGGGCGCGTGTGCTGGAGCAGCGCAACACCATCCTACGCAAGCAGCTGGAGACCTTCCAGCGCATGGATGAGCTGGTGGGCTTGGATGAAGCCTTCGCTGGGCAGATCGAGTTCAACCGCCAGCGAATGCGGGAGCTGGCGTCCGACCGAGCCAAGCTGGAGCGGGAGGAGAAGGATGCCCAGCGCATGCTCGATGAGTACCGCAACAAGTAAGGCTAGTGAACAGAGGAAGATAGGTGGTATTGTTTCCATAGTTAATCTTTGTAGTAAGGATGGGTTTGGTGTCACCAGCTGCTTCTTGTGCACGGGTGATGCCTCTCCACGTGTATCAGACTTGCAGCGAGGGACTGCATGTAAGCCTGTGGTGAAAAGCAAGGTGCCAGGACTTGGGGAGCTCCAGCTCCGCATTTCACAGTCTCACTGCCACTAGATGGGCAATTGCCCTCTCCCTTCTATAGCAGCAGGTATTTGCTGTGGCACCTGTTGGTTGATCATTAGCTTTAGGAGGATTGCACTCTGAGCTGCAAAGAGAGAATAACCCAATTAAAAAACAAATAGCTCAAAGCAAGTCTTGTGTCTGAGCAGTACAGAGTTACATGACCCCAAACACTTCCCAAAATGCACGGGACATCTCTGTGAAACTTTTATTTAGAGGCATTCTGAGGCACCTGGGCCAGTCTGTGCCAGCCACTACAGATGCAGGATGAAAAGAAAGTAAATAATTTTTTGCCTGATATGTGAAATTTGCCTAATTACCCTCCTCTTCTTCTTTGCATCCCACTAATTCCATCTCGTGCTACTAAACCACGTTTTCCCTTGACTTCACCTCTCTTTAAGCTCTGTGGCACCATAAATCAAAGAGCAGGAGCCTTGGGGGCTGAGGCATGCAAGTGCCTCCAGACATGTGTGGTCCCTTCCCTTCAGCAACAGGTAGTGTTGGCCATTTTGCTTAATTAATTACACAAGGAGACTTTGTGAGTGTTCACAGGAGAGGTTTGAATCTCTGCCACCCTGAGATTTGAATTAAGAAAACGAGCCAGCTAAAAAAAAATTAATTAAAAAATAATATCTCCCAACCCAATGTGGCTGCCACACAAACAGTCTGTGGGGGCTGTGAGCTTTGGCACAACTATGGAAATACCCTGATCTCTCTTTCTCATCTGACAGCAGATAATAGCCAGGTTCAGTGAGACTTACTGCTGGAAATTGTCAGATGTCTTTGGCTATATCCAAGCCAACAACAGTCGTAACTTAAGGGCGTTGGCTGCTATTTAACCAAGTGGCCTTCAGTTTACATCAAGTAGTAAATTTGGGCTTTATTTTTTCTCTTGGAAGCTGCTGAATTTGACCTGAAGACAGTCATGAAAGTTTCTTCAGAGTCTGAAGAAAATTGGTTAGGTTTTGAGTTGCAGGTGTTAAAGCAAGGCCAGTGCTCTGATGCCGTGTACTCTGCCTTCTCACCCCATTTCTAGCTCAAAGCCATCCTGATGGCTATGATTTCAGCTACTTAAACTTATAAATAAAGCTCTCTAAACAAAACATGGGAGGGATAATCTTCAGTGCCGTGTTAGGGCCTTGCAATGCTTCTGAAGCCAGAAGCATTCCTGTGCTGAAGACCTGCTCTCCTACCTGGGTCTGCTCTCAGTCAGCAGCAGGCAGTGCGAGTTTCTTGCTTCAGTTTGAAACATGAAGCATCTACTTTTGGCACACTAGGATGAACAAAATTTCTTAAAGTGGAGCATTGTGTACCAATTAATTGACAAATGCCTGTGTCCTTCACTAATGCAAAGAATTTTAGCTCTTACAACCAATTCTTTTAGTCACATTCACAATTTGTGAAATAGATTTATATCTATAAGTAAACCTTTTAAAGCTGCATTTATATAAGTAGACCTTTTAAAGCTACATTTAAACGCAGTAGGGCCTGAGACTACTGGCTCTGTACAATTAGATGTGCATGAACCATTGAAAAATAGATCTTATGTTAAAATTTATTTTTAAATCCTCTATAGCCACATTTATAGCTTTTCACATTAACATGAATAATTCAGACTCTGTACCAGTGGAGAATTCTTCCTCATGAAGTTGCAAAAAAAGCGTCACTAAGAATTGTTTGGATGCATCTCATAAAGAGACTAATTATGCTAATTTTATTGAGCATCATTATTATAGCAATGTTGTATTTCACTGTGGGAAAGGACTGTCTTTCTCTCTCTATGATATTAGGAAAGATGCTGAAACCCAGATTTTTGCACCCTTGACTGAACAGGATTAATTAACTTCGGAAATTAAAAGTCTTGCTAATCGATCCTTTCATTTAAAAATCATTCACTGCTAATCTTGTGGGTTTTGCATGCAATATGATTCCCTGGAATTTGCTAGACATGGAAATTGGCACTGTGTTCTCTAAGCTGCACCCTGTGATGATGCTCAGATGCGCTTGACATCCTTTGGGACCGCAGTGGAGACCCAGTGCCCATGAGAGGAAATGAAAACAAGTAGGAAAACATGATAGGTATGTGGAGCAATAGGGACTCTGTAGCTGGTGACCATTGGCAAAGCCGTCTTCAAGCCCTGTCCGCAGGAGTTGTGGCTGCTGCTGCTGCTTCTCTGCTCGTAAATCAGGAGAGCAGAGCTCTCTCACAGGACTCATCCTAGCTTTCAGGGTATAAAATACAAGCAGCATTGGCCTGTCTGTCATCCCTGTAGGACCAGCATTTTGCAGTTTGTGCTCTCTTTGGCACCCAAGTTACTACTGTCTCTATTGAGACAAGGCTAGCGAAGTACCTCAGGGAATATGAAAAGGAGAAAAGTAGTAGAAAAGTTTAACCTCAGCTTGTGGCAAGCCAAGAGGCTTCATATATTGCTGGAAGAGTTCAGTAGAGTTCAACAGAGAGGCAGCATTTCTCTTAATATTAGAAACACAGGCTTGACACCACATTGAGTATCTAGCCACTGAGGATCGCAAGGATGTATTGTGACTGTTTCCTCTTTGGAGGGGAGCCAGCCCTTGCACTGCAGCAGAGGCTGGGTCCGAACAAAAAGGGCCTTGCCCTGGCCCCATCTTTCAAGAGCAAGCACAGCCTGCCTGTCAGCAAGGGATGGGAAAAGAGATTTACAGTGCTGCTGCAGCTGTGCTTTCCAGGTGGAGAAAGAAGCCTCGCAGTGGGCTTCCTTCCTGCACACGTGATGGTCTCACCACACCAGTGCCCCGAGCTGTAGGGGGGCTAAAAGGGGTTAACAAATACCTGTAAATCTGTTAGTACCCCAACAGAGAGCTGCTGACCTAAGAGAGGTGAGGTAATGGGTACCTTTAAAGCTCTGATCTGCTTTCTTTGAGCATGTCAGTCCCCTCCACCCCATTTCTTTTCTTTCTGCTATGCAAAAAACAATCAGTATCCCTTTTTTTTCCTAAACAGTCCAAAAAGGGTTGTTGCAGCACTAAAGCTGCTTGACTAGGTGAGAAGGATTTTTTAAAAAAAACCCAACAAATTAACCTCATGGCTTTTAAGGCCCGGGAAAGGCTGACCAACAACCATCTAAGAAAAGTTTGACCTCTTTTCAACATGTCCAGCTAATTGCACATTGAAATCAGGTTTGAAGCATCACAGGGCTGCAATTTGTCAGCCATTGCACTTACATTAGATACATTTCAGCAGGCACAGAGGCATCGTGATGTCTCTGAAGCATTTCTAAAAGGTCTTAGCCCTTTGGCACTGAGCTTTTGGAGTACATTGAACATCACTTAAAAGCAATCCTCCTTCAAAGGATAATCACACCATACTACCTCTCTCAAGGCTGCCAGGTGGATTTATGGCTGTGTGACACAACAGGTATTTGGGTTGTTTGCAAGTGAAGAAAAATGTAGCTGAATATGTCAGTCATTGAAAGAATATTTGAGTGAGGACATAGCAACTAGGCAGATTTGAGCAGGTCTGAATGACCTTAGGGCTGAGGTTTCAACCCTGGCTCTATCAGATAGCTGTATATTACTAGGAGTGCAAATCTAGCCTTTTATTGTAGCTGTATATTTGATTTTCACAAGCTGCCACAATCTGCTTCATTCTTGCTCAGTTGTCAGAAAGTATCGAAGTTAACAAAGTGTTTATTGTCAACTGCACACAAGAATTTTATAAGATAGAAAACTGGTTGGAGGTGAGCTACTTAATAAACAACAGCAACAAAGGCAGTCTCGCTTTTGAGGCTGAGTATTCTTGGTTGTACCTTGGAAGTGAACCCGCTGTTAATACAATTTGGCAAGAAGACATTGTTTTAGTTTTGTCAGAAAATAGCACTTCATCTGAGGAGGCCTAGCAGTTTGTAAGAGTGATAATGAAATAAAACCTCATAATTTTCACTTGTTTTTTTGGTGTTCATGGTAAGAATTGAAAACAGACCAGTGACCAACCCTGCTAGTATTATGGGATTTCAAAAGAAGGGAAAGTTGGGAAACCAGAGCACCAAGTTGAGTCTATTTCTTTGTTATGCCAAGTTATTCTTTTGTGGTCCTGGTTAGTTCACAAGTGACCCCCATCCCTTCAGCTTTCCAAGACATGTTGAAAGAGATGAGAATAACATTGGTTGTTTATCCTTCAGGAGATAAAAAGAAAGAATCGAGGTTGACACAGCAGTTACAACTTCATCCTTGATGTGTTCAGTCCGGGAACTGACAAGTTCCCTGTTGACTGGAGCAAGTCCCTTAGATGTCACCAGCGTATCTGGGCTGAATCAATGATTTCAAAAGACAGACAAGGGTTTATGTTCAATTCTGAATTTCAGCCAGGGTTTGTGCGTGTGTTGATGTCCATTGCTTGTATTGCAAATGAAAGACATTCACCACCAGAGTTGACTTGTCACCCACCACGAGGGTTTCTTGTGGAAAACAAGAAAATGACAACTTTTTGTATCCCTATTATTTTAGGGAAAGCAAAGGGATAAAAAGGAATAGACCGTACTTACGTACTTTGGCACTGGCAGCAGACAGAGTTTGATGAGCCACTTGTTCAGTACTGATGGCAAAGTTTCGTTGCCTTGTACTGTAAGATGCTTCTGGCTGGTTTTTGGTTTTTTTGTGGGGTTTTGTTTTGGTTTTTTTAATGGGATCTCATTAAATCATATCTCCAATTAAACATTTTATATATAGTTTATTTAGGGAAGGGAATAAACAGCAATAATCAACAATTAGGAAGTTTTGTACTCTGCAGCTAAAAGGATTTTCTAGCAGATAGCTGTATCTAACATAGAAATACAGAGCCCTAATTCATAAAGAATATGTGCTATTTCTTCGAATCAAAGATAAACACAATATACCTCCATTGTTCACTCAGTACAGGAGCGTGCACATTATTCACTTGTGGACATTTTATAAACGCATAAGAATAGTTGGCTAAATGCAGTCCTTACTAAGACTCACATACGATTTTAACCAAACTATGAAATATGAATTGCTATTAAGGAGGACACAAAGCTTGATCCATCAAAGCATCCTAATACAACATTATTCATACACAATCAATATGTTAAATTGCAACCTTTGTGTTTAATGCTAACAAATAAATCCCTTCGACCCTTTTAAGATTTATCTTCTGCTTTAGCGTGAAGCATATATTGTGCATGATAGTGCAGATGAAAATGCAGTTTGCAGAAGGATGAACCATTGAACTTACTGTTCTATTTGCAGGTATAGAAATGAACGTGAATATCAGCAGAGGCTAAAAGAAACTCTTGAACGCCTTAATAAGGTAAGCTTGGAAAAACAGAAAAGGAAAGGTCTTAATAATTTTTTTTCCTTTGGTTTCATTTACTACAGCAGGCTGCTTTGAAGAAGCAGTGGGAAGATAAATGTCAGAGCAAGACATTTCTTGTCATTATGCATTGATGAAAAGTTCTTCTTCCACTCCATCCCCCTCCCAAAGCCTCGTGCAAATGGCTGAGCCTCGACGTGTGCATACACACTGTGTAGTGCCCTGCTCTGGACAGTCCTCCTGATTTTGGTCATGTAGCACATGCCCTCTGCAGCCCACAACCTTAGCTGTGCTTAAGACTTCATTAATTTTTCAGTAAGACCAAGGACTAGGAGGATCTGCTTGGATAACACTCCTTTCAGAGCATCAGCAAATGGCTCCTGCATTCATTTTGTGACCCAGGGTTGAAATACGTGTTGTTTCTTCCACATCCAATGTGAACTTTGCAAATTTACCCTTGCTGAAGATCTGGCACATGTTCAGATGCCTTTAATAACTCTTTTTAACTCCTTTAACACCCTTTTTTTTAACTGAGGAGACAATTTCTCTCTGAGTAAATTAGAATTTGCACACTGAGATAGGAAGTGCCTGTTTATTAGTCGTACCGTGCAGCCAACACACATATCTAACAGCCTGGAATATGACCAGAGAGAACATATTTGTTGCTAAATACCTTGTTCCCCCTGGTTTTTTTCCATACAGCTACTGTAGTAAAGTATATTTAGTACTGATATCAAAGCATGAGAAAAATGTTGAGTGTGTCCAAGACTTGAAGTCTGGTGGGTCTCAAAGCTCCTCAGTCCCTTGCAGGATATAGTCAGCCTTTCCCAGGACAGACCCTCAGCTTTCCATTCAGTTTCCAAACAAAACGGAAGCCACAAACCCCCCTGATGTGTTTCCTTCACAGTGAAACATGAGGAATGTTTTTATCAAGCTGTGCTTTCCTGATATAACAACATCAATAGTAATAATAATAATAAGGCTTAGAGAAAAGATAAAAGTTTACTAACATTTTTAGGAGGTTTCCAAACCAGGTCTGTGAAACTGAGAAAGCCTGATTCATCCTCTCTTGCTACTAGCTTTCATCTGAGTGAAGAAAGTTGTATTATATCTTTCCTCAGTTGTATTTTTCACAGTGTGTCCTTCATCTTCTGTATTGGGAAACAATTACAGGTGGATTACATAGAGATTTTATTTATTTTTTTTATTTCCTCACTACAAATGGCAGGAGCTGTTCTGCTTAAGCACTGTCATATCAATGACATGCATGTTTTATTAATTTAAAAAGTGTGTTTTAGCATTTCTATTTCCAATTAGCTCTAGATATTCTGCATCAGTGCTATTTTTCAGTATGCTAGCAGGGCTCTTGGACACCCTGCAAGCTCTTAAAAACTATTTGCAGAGGCAGATACTTTGTAAGGGGTAGCTGGAGCTGGTGGGGCCATCTTCACACTTCCTTTCAGCCAACCTGTGGCTAAAGAAAAGTGAATTGATTCAACAACCCCAGGCACAGCTGACAAGATCTTGAGCTGTGGAGGGTGTTTTTATCCCAAGTTGCCTCCGGGCTGCCCCTGTTTTAGCAGCTCCTTGTATTAGGGCACCAAATGCTGGAGAGAACACAGCTGATTTTCTGTACAGTGCCCAAGATGTAGCCTGAAACCTGTATGTGCAGATGGAAACTCATGCCTTTTCCAACAGATGGAGAATCAGTTTGGAAAATGAGCGAACAGTGGTTCTGGAGAGATCTTAGGGATTTCTCTTCCATGGCAAATGAAAATACTGCTTCAGCACATGGATCAACATTCTGGAATCAGCACCTAAAGCAGAATGTATTTTTGAAGTTGAGTAAACAGCAAATACTGTGAAGTTCAGAAGAAAATGCGTAGGCACTGCACTGTTCTGATATACAGCATCGTCAATGAAGCTGGTCTACCTGAAAGCAGGGAATAGAAGCAAAAGTGTTTTTCCCCTTTGAAGGAACATTTGGAAAGCCGAACGCTGCTTTTGCTTATTACGTGCAGAAATATTTGCTTATCAGTATTATCTACGGACCCGGGGGCTTTTTTTGGCTCCCTTCAAACCTCCCAACATGGCCATTGTCCTGCTGATCTTCCTCTCAATAGGAAGGCAGAAAAGCAGTGGACATTCCTGATGACTGGCTCTGAATATGCTGGTCTGGATGTATCTGAATCAGCTGCTGTCTCACAAAGCAGAGAGACTGCTGGAGAGGTCTCTGGCTGGGAGGCTCAGTAGCATAATGAGACAGCTAACATCTACACATTTTTGGAATAGCGCATGCTGTGCATGTGCAAAAAGAAAAAACCCCTTCTACCAGTCATATGCTGCTTCCATAGATTTCAGTCTTTTATTTGCAACCTGTGATCCACTCACTGAGGCATATTTGCAGCTAGTAGTGGCATGTAGGTAATTTTAAAGGGACACCTTTAAACCTTTAAATCCTTGGGGGGGGGGTTGTTTTTGTTTAGTTAAATGCAGAAATCAAGACTTTCTTGAGGCAAATTGCAAACTGGTAGAAGAACTTACAAGTTTTGTAGATGTGTAAGGAAGATTGTTGGCAATTTTCAAGATACTTTCTCAAAAGCAGTATTTTACAGTATGAGTGATAAACCTAACCAAGAGGGCATGCATTATGTAGAAGAATAAAGATGTTCCCTTCACACTTACATATTTGTAAAATATATTGCCAAGTTCCATGGAAATTATTGTATATTCAAGGGCTTGTAATAAATAACATAACATAGGAAATACCTAAATTTAGACCTTTGAACAGAAATGGAGATTTTACTGGATTTATATACCAGTGTCACTCATACCTATGTCCTTTGAGATCACAATTGCTAGTCATGCACCTTGTCCTTTGAATTAACTGGACTTTATGAACTTTTGTTCTCACAAATCCCAATGTATTAGAAACTTCTGCAGCAAACTGACTTATTTTCTGGGTTTGCTCATCTGTCATTTTTATTTCCAGAAATGACTCCAAATAGACAAACATTTGTGATATTTGAGAACACACCAAAAGGAGGGAGAATACTTTGGACCATCCTGGGGGTTTTTTATAAGGGATTCTTTATTGGGGATATTAAAAAGGTGTCAGGATACCTCAGGTCCTGTCATGAACACTAGAGAAATCAATGCCTTGATGTCTTCTGTTTAAGATTCGTGCACCACTGCAAGCTTTTAACTCAAAGACTGGTATTTCATAGCATCTATGACTTGGCTCCCAGCATTCATAAAGCATATGGTAAACATATTTTGACAGCGCCAGTGTCAAACTGTATCATAAATTATATTTGTGTGGAAAAGCAGCATGTACAATAGGAGAACATGATGAATAAGGTGCCTGTTGTTTGTTGATTTCATAATACTTTTGTTTCTCCCAGTAGGCTTTAATTCTCCACACAGGTTGCTATACATGTACAATGACTCACGTTGTGGCTAAGTGGCTGCTGCGGTTTTGGCACTCCAGCTGTATGTACTGACCATGCTGTGTGTCTCTGCATTGCAGGAAGCTGATGAAGCACTGCTGTGCAACCTGGAGCTGCAGATCGAGTCCCAGTTCCTACAGGATGACATTAATGCCACAAAGGACAGATACAAGAAGGTAACAGGCTAAATTTGCTATCTTCTTCCTTCTGGAGACTTAGGTGAAACTTTACCCTTCTCCATGATCTGTTCCAGTGGCAAATTAAAGCAAATCCTGTTTGTGGTTTGGTGGGTAAATATAGCACGGTGTATTTTTAGTGGGCACAACAGCTGCAGTCAAGCCCAACGGCTGGATGGCTGCAAGCATCCAAATTGACTTCCTCAGGGTCCAATGCCTACAGCTGTAGCATTGTCTTGACTTTGTTGACCTGTTGTCACGATTCAACCCAACGTGCTGGTCAAACTGTCTTGTATTTCATGCTAAGAAGCTGTTGCTTTTCATCAGAGGGGGATGCCCAGTTGTCTGGGACAGAGCATTCCAGTTAATCGGCAGACAAGCCTGCATGCAGCCCCCTTCTTCCTGGGAGAGCTGTGAGGCTTGGGATCAGGCACTGTCCCTTCTTTGCTGCTTTTGAAAGAAGAGGCTCACTTTTTTGGACCTCATGCAAAGGTATTTGTGGTTCTCATTTTGAAAATCTCCTGTGAAATTGTATATCATGAAATCTTTAAGACTGTGAACTATACTGTCACTTAGCCAAATGCCTGTAATGTACCCTCAGCATGATGAAACTGTTAGCACTCAAAATCTGGGCTAAAACCACATTCCAAAACCAGGTCTGAACACGACCTGGCCTTTTATATGTTGAAAGAAGTAAATATGTAGGCATAAGCCCCAGAAGTGGAGTGCATTGAAGGGAGCACCTTGCTATGGCATTTTCTGAATTGAAGAAAATGCCAAGAAAATGTTTTTTCTTCGTCACAGAACCTAATGGAAATCCAGACCTACGTCAGTGTTTTGCAGCAGATCATCCAGACCACCCCTCGTGTGTCCCCTATAACTACTGGCATATGTGAAGTAAGTATTGTTGTTGGTAACTACATGCTGCTCTAAGGAAGAAAGAGACAATTTTTACTCCTGAAATATCCCAGATCCTCTAACTCCCACTCCAAGGTTAAGCGAAAACTGCAACAACTGCAAGTACTGAATGCTAAATATGAGAGAAAAAACTAACTAACTATGGAAAATTGTGTAGATCAGGAGAGGAGAGGTTACGTTAGTCAGGTGCACTCAGCGTATGTATTAGCTCCAAAAAGGGCTAGTTCAAAGGTTGTTGAAGTACTTGTGCTTCCTATCTGAGGAGGAGCTGGCAGGATATATAAGTATATATCCTGGAAATCTTGTCCTGAAGGGGCAAGATGTGAAAATTTGTAAATCAAATAAGTTGCTACAGACTAGATGAAAACTTGGTGATTCCCACCAATATGGGTGGCTATGCCAAGAACATTTATTAGTTGGAAGAAGATATGAACAGCTACATCTACAAAGTCTAATTTCAACATAAGTTGTACTTCTACAGTCCTGTCATCTTTTATTCTTAAAGCCATGCCACAGGGGTTTACTTGAGGTTTAAGCCATCATTTTATTTGTCTTTTGGCATTTTCTGTTTGCCCTTACAGTTCATTTCCAGTAGTAGAATTTCTTTTGGCTATTTTTAAGAGTGAAACATACTTTCCTGTACACATGTTGTTTTCTTCCAACCAGGAAAAACTGATAGCGGAGAGGAGGATCCCTGTTCTGCAGAGCCAGCTGGAGGAATACAAGAGCATCCTCTGCCAGCTACAGACACAGAAATACAAACTGCAGACAGAGGTACTGCCATCACTAGCCATAAACACAACTGTAATGGTGATGAACTCTGCTCTTTTTATGGTCACATGGTCTTTAACAGGGTATTGTGAACTCAGTTGACTTGGAGACTTGAAGGTGTGTTTTCATTTTAGTTTTCCAACTTTTTATTCAGCTGTTTCATTCCTTTTCTCTCACTGGCCTAAATCATCATGTTTAGATGGCCAGGGAAGGCTGCAGATATTGTAGCCACAATGAAGCTGTCTCTGCTTCTCAGAGTAGCTGGTGGGAGAAAGTTTCTACTTTGCAACTGGATTCCTGCAGGATAGAGTCAGCAGGAGGTCGTGGATGGAAAAGTCACACAGGGCTGGTCTTGCTTTCTTACTTGCTGAGCTCAGGCTGGAAATTGGCTCCATGAAAAATGATGGGGGACCTTCAGGGCTCTGCCCAATCCTTTCCATCAGTGCCACATCCAGTGCTGAGCTTGCTGTGAGAATGACTGGACAGATTTTGTAATCAGAACTGAACATCCTTTGAAACAGGTGTCAAGCTACATTTGGCATCCTGTGTTCACCCCTGTCACTACTAAGCACTAAGTCAAGGTGCCTCCTGTGCTTAGACGCTACCAGCACTAAAAAAACACTGCTTTTTGCCAATTTCTGATTTGCAGAAAATGACTGGCCAAGACTTTCACTCATTGCTCCTGCCCATCTCCCAGCCAAACCTGCCATAAATCAACCTTCCTCCTCCAACCAGTGTCTCTGAGTGAGCGTGCAGTGCAGGGATGAGGGCGGCAAGAGATGGAGGAGCAGCTAAAGGCTACAGTGAATAGACCAGACCTGAATAACTGCCAATGGCAGGTCTACCTCCATGTGGTTGAATGTTTCTTAGCAGATAGAGGTGGAGAATGATGACCTTATGGCCCCCAAATACAGCTTCCTTTGTGCCTTGAATTGTCTGTCCGTGGTGGGGGAAGTGATATACTGGTATTAAACACCTTGTGGTGGGATTTTGTACAACTCTGGGCAGCCATAGCAGCAGCTCTTAACTTCCTGAGCCTAACTTCTCTCACTGGGGCACTCGAGGACAGTGCTACCCACGGGTCTTTTCCTTGGTCTCTTTTTCATGTCTGGTGCTCTGGTGGAAAGGACACATGCACTCTGGGAAGGTGCATGTATTGATCCTTAGGGAGGATCAATAGAGTGATAAGTGAGATAGTGAATCAATACAGAAAAAAAAGAGGAGAAAATCAGCCTTCTGCTGGCAGATGGAGAGAGGCACTCTTTGGGGAATTAATCATGCTGCTTTCAAAATTAAATCTTCATGTCCCATTTAGAAAGACTTCATTCATTCATTCTTATGCCTTGAGATTAAAAGAGTAAAATAACTTTGAGTGGAGGTCAATGAGATGGTTGCTTGTGATGGCAAATGCTGGATCTGATGACTGAGGTGTCATCGAGCTCCTTTGCTTTCCTGTTTCTGGACCTGATATCCGCGTTGCCGAGAGGTTATCGGCCTCACCTCGTGAGCACTAAACAATAACGGGGTCTGTGGAACCTGTTGGTTCACTAGTACACTGCGATATAATCAAACTAATGCCAAGGCACTCAGCTCCTAAATTTAGGCTTTTAAAAGGTTTTTGAAAATCTTGTCTGTAACATATAGAAATAAATCAATTATTAAAGAATCCATTAGTCAGTTATTGCCCCATTAGCTTTTTGTGAGTTCGTCTCTTTAAAAGCTGTTTGAAAAGGGGGAAAAAATCCCAAGTGATAAAGGAAATAGAATAGTCAAAAATAGCAGAAGAAGTTGAGAGCAGAACTACACTGCAAAATATCCCACCCGTAAGTCTTGCACCTTGTTTTTGCAAGGGACTCATCGCCACCTCCTGGTTGATGCGCACTCCAGTGACTGGCGTTGTGGCCTTATTGCACAGCGATTATTTTTATCGCTAAAGTAAAAAAGCTGAGGAATTATATTCATAGAATAGTCAAAAATAGCAGAAGAAGTTGAGAGCAGAACTACACTGCAAAATATCCCACCCGTAAGTCTTGCACCTTGTTTTTGCAAGGGACTCATCGCCACCTCCTGGTTGATGCGCACTCCAGTGACTGGCGTTGTGGCCTTATTGCACAGCGATTATTTTTATCGCTAAAGTAAAAAAGCTGAGGAATTATATTCAAAAGGGAAACCTCCTGGTTGATGCGCACTCCAGTGACTGGTGGTGTGGCCTTATTGCACAGCGATTATTTTTATTGCTAAAGTAAAAAAGCTGAGGAATTATATTAAAAAGGGAAGCTTTTTATTTTAAAAAAGACCCTTCCTTAACCTTCAGTGCTTGGTCTGCAGACCACAGAGAAGGAAGAACCTGTTTTGCCCAGGCACATCTTCCCTGTTAAGCTGCAGGTCACGCAGCGAGACATCAGCCAGCCTTGCATGCATGGGGAAGGAGACTTCTCTCAGCTGTTCCTCTGGTTCCTGCTG